ATGCAATTCGAGGTATTTAGTGTCCTGAGTGGCACAAATAGTTAAGTGTTCAGCTACCAATAGAAAGGTTAACAATTCAAATCCACCTAGAACCACCTCGAAAGAAAAGCCTGGTGATCTACTTCAAAAGGTCACAGCCACTGAAAACCCTATGCGCAGTTTTATTCTGAAACACATAGGATAAGGTTGTCATGAGTCAGAATCAACTTGAAGGCAACTGTGTGTGTTTTAATGGGTAAAATGATAGGATATCTGTGGTTACTTAAAAATATTAAAAGAAAAAAAAAAATGTGGGGGTGGGTAGAGGAGGAAACAAGATCCAAAAAGTGTGTTTTATTGGTGATGGGTATATGGAGGTTCATATACTATTTTATTTTTGTGCATGCTAGAAAAATTCCATGATAAAATCAAATATGTGTGTGTATGTATACACACACATATATACACACACATTATACATACATACCAAACAGGAAAAAAAAAAATCACTCTTACAGTTTTTATAAAAGACACATGTCCAGAACTTATCCTGGGAGATTCTGCTTCAGTGAGTCCAGGGAGTGGCCCAGTCATGTACTTTTTTCTTTTTAAAATACTACTATAGATGCTCTACTGAACACTTCTGATTAAGCAGTATTAATGTGGCCTTACCTACTTATTTTACAGAGGAAACTGAGGCCCAGAGAGATGCAATAACTTGTCACATTCATTAATGGCAGACCTAGGGCTATACCTTCACGCCACATGACTTCTGGTGTGTGTGTGTGAGCGTGTATATGTGTGTGTGTGAGAGAGAGAGAGAGAGATTACAAGTAAAAGGCTATCAGAAAATAGTTATTTTTTATGGTCTAGAATTTTGTTATTTTTCACCAAGTATCTTTTCCTGCTGTAATTAACACGTCTCATTGGTATTGAAGGACATCCACATTTGTATCAAACAATTAATACGCTGTAGTCATTAAAAACATTTGTCTTTTTAGGGAAATTGAGTGGGCCCCTTACAACCTAGATTAAACTATTAATTTACCTAGTCAAGCATGTCTTAATAATCCAAATGCCCTATTATACAAACCAAACCCAACCCCACTGCCATTGAGTCGATTCTGACTCATAGAGACTCTATAGGACAGAGTAAATTGACCCATAAGGTTTCCAAGACCGTAAGTCTTTACAGAAGCAGACTGTCACATCTTTCTCCCACGGAGTGGTTGGTGGGTCTCAGCCACAGTCCTTTCTGTTAGCAGCCAAGTGCTTTAACCACTGTGCCATCAGGGCTCCTACTCGATTATATAGTTAGCAGTAATAGCATACAAAGTACTTTGGGAAATATTACCTTAATGAGTTTTCATGATCTACAATCTGTCGTTCACTATTCAGTCCCAAAAAATCTAGTTTTTCTACCAACACTCACTGAAAGTGTTTTGGAGAACATCACATGTGTCCTAAGATGTCCTAGTTGGAGTGTATTGTCTCATTTTTTTACGGATAAGGAAAGTGAGAATCAGCAATCTTAAATGACTTAAGGTTATTTAGGTAGGAAATAATGGCGGTGGAATTTGAATTCAAATCTAAAAATAAAACCAAACAGTTGCCTTTGAGTTGATTCCAACTCATGGTGAACCCATGTGTGTCAGAGTAGAAGGGAGCTCCAAACAGTTTTCAGTGGCTGATTTTTTGGTAGTAGATCCACCAGTCCTTTCTTCCAGAATGCCTGTGGGAGGACACAAACCTCTAATCTTTCAGTTATCAGTCAAGTGCATTAACCATTTGTGCCACCACCATTATCCTCTATTTCTCCATAGATCACAGAAAAACTCAGTCTCATACCTAACCTATCTTACACTCCTCCAATCTTTCCTTCACCCTGCCATCACAAGGACTGTTGTGAAACGCAAATTTAATCGTGTAACCCCTGGGGTCACAATCTTTCTGCAGTTCCCTGTCAGCTACAGGATGGAAGCCTCACTCCTTGAGATCCTGTTCCTGCCTTCCCTCTGCTCTGTCCCTTCGTACCCTGGCCAGTCAGTAGGAAATGATTTTCCTTCCAAACATTGCCACTGAGCTGTCTAATAGACATCTCAATTCAAGAGGCCCCAAATTGGAATCGTGATCTTCTCTTAGTCTCAATTTCATATTTCCAATTTCTCAAGCCAAAAATCTTTTGAGTCATCCTTGACTTCTTTCTCTTAACACTCGCATCATTTTAATCAAGACATTTAGACAGCTTTAACTTCAAAAAATGTCCAGAATCAACCACTTCACCTGCAATGCTAACACCCTGGTTTGAGTCACCATCATCTCTTGCCTAGATTATGACAAGAACCTTTTAAATAATGTCCTCATTTCTATCCTTGCTCCCCTACAGTCTGTTTTCAACACTACAGCCTGAGGGATCATTTTAAAATACAGGACAGACTGTCATATCTTTGCTCAAAACCTTGCAATGACCCCATATCACCAAATTCCTAATGATGGTCTGCAAGGCCCTATGTAATCTGGTCCCATTGACCTAATGACCTCATTTCATACTATCATCCCCCTTGATCCCTCAACCCCAGCCGCATTCATTCCTTGCTAGTCCTCAAATACCCCAAGCAAGTTCCTGCCTTAAGGCTTTTGTATAGACTATTCCCTCCACCTGGAATGTGCTTCCTCAGATATCCACACAACTCACCCCATTTCCCTTTTCCTGCTGTACTATGTTTATTATTTCTAGGTCAATTACCACATTCTAATGTATTATATAATTTATTTATTATATTTCTTTTGATTTATAGAATTTAAGCTCCACGGGGCAATGATCTTTGTCTGTTTTGTTCAATAATGGATCCCAAGTGCCTAGAACAATGCCTGAGACACAGTAGGCACACATCCAACAGCTGTTGAACAAATGAATAAAGCATTCCAGGCAGCTGCATGCCTTAATAGGAGGGTTGCATATTAAAATTATTTAGGGGGAGAGTCAGGAAACATAAACCAACAAAGTAGGATGAAGAGGGGGAGGGCATATAGCAAAATAGACTGTCCGTATCCATCCAAAGGTAACAGCTTCTATTCAGGTCCAGTCAATTATTACTCTGCAGGAGACAAACAATACTTCTCTATCACCACTACCCACATTGTCCAATTTGCTAAGATGGAAATCTAGACTTTTACATTAAATTTTTTAGTTTTAAAATTCTGTCCATTAATCAAACATTTTAAACCAAAATTACAGGTCAAACAAACCTCCACCATGGGCCATGACCACCCGCAGGCTGCAATTCTGCCACAAAGCTTCCTTTGCTGGCTAGGCCTTCTCTCCCTCACTGCCTGAATAGCACCTACTTGTTTTCCACTGCTCAGCTCAAGAATCTCCCAGTGAAGCCTCTCTGGCATCCATAAGTCATCATTTACTCCCTCTTTTGTGCCCCAGGGTATCCTGGGTCAGGCTTACAGCAGGACACTTCCTGCTGAGTTAAACCTCTGAGTTAAATCTCTCTCCTCTCCCTCCTTTCTCCCTGGGGATGAGTTCCCTGCCTCATCTCTTTTTGAATACCCAACACAGAGGATGTGCTAGGCACCAAGGTGGCACTTAGTAGCATTTCATTCAGTGAATAACTGAATTTCACCAAAGAGCAAACTAAAACTCAGAGAGACTAAATGAGAGCTAATAAATGATAAAACCAAGACTGAGATCCAGATTTAAATTCCAAACTCCTAAAATGACGCTACAGCCTTTAAGCAGTACAGAGACAATCCTCAGACCAGCTTATGTCTAAGTAACCCAACATGAAAAATAAAGAGATCCAAGTTAATGCTATTTTTCTGTAATGACAAAATTATTTAATATTCTATCTCCAAAAAGATAACCTTTAAACTTTTTAATCTAAGGCTATATTATTAAAAATGTATACTGCAAATTTCATTTCCTTAAGTAGACACTGTGTCTAAGAGCCTTGTCTTTTTATAACTGCCTTATAAAAAGACAAGGCTATAAAGTCACCTAAGTTAATATGAATAAGCCATTACCCATTTTTAAAGATACTTAAAAACTGATTTAAAAAATTTACAAAGCCAAGAAAGTGTTATTTTGTAAATGAGAGCTATTTTCATCTAAGTTTAGGAAAAATATATATTTTTTATAATTACTGGATCCCTAAGCCGGCCAGAGCAAAAATTCAAAGATAGATAATTGTATCTCCACAATATTCCACAAGAGGTCAGCATGTAACTGAACAACCTCAAAGTGGTGTTAATGGTGGTGGTATAGTCTCTGTAAACAGAACAATAGAAACACTTTCGTTTCAAGATCTTGAGCTAGGGCTTTGGTAGCAATTCACTTCATAAATGGGTTTCCTGTATATTTCACTATTTTTCTTAGCATACTCTTAGAGCAGTTTATAAACACTGATATTTAGATATTTCTTTATTGAAACATTTTAATTTTCTTCTTTCCAAAAGAATTCTTTCCAAATTCTTCTTCTGATCAAATTAAGAACTTTCAAGTACTTAGTGAAGTCCAGGAATTATCCTAGGAGCACCAAAAACATTAGTCTATTTGTTTATCTGGGTTATTTAGTTTTGTTTTGTTTTTTTTCCTCCTGTCTTACAGATGAGAAAATTGAAAAAAAAAAAAAAAAAAAATCAATGTTTCACCCAGGGCATTCTTTCCACACTGCACATTTGGTGGGCAACTGGAATCTCCATGGGAGCCCTTTGCGTGTCTGTTTGTGTGTGGTGTGTGTTTTCAGACAGTCCTAGCTTATTATCTTCCTTGTTTCCCATTAACATCTGACATCCTGAGTCATCAATACCTGACCAATTGTCAATACTGATCATTAGTAGTAGTAGGACTATAGTTATTGCTACAGATGCCTTTAACTCATGAGCAGTACCAGGGCCTAGTAAGAGTGTACAAAACCATACTCAGAACACATAAAATTCTTTTTTGGGGGAAAAGGGGGTATTATAAACTATACTGAAATCTATATAAATATATATCGTTAAGTTTTTCTTACATCGTTTGGATTCTTATCCTGCTTTTCATATTTTTCTCGGTCATAAGCCATTTTCTTCAGCAATTTTTTCATGGCTTTTTTATCTTTCTTATGATTTTCGGTGTTTTGCTTCCTCACTTGGTTTACAATAAACTTGGGAATCTAAGAAGAAATAAATTTAAGTTTGGGGAAGAAAAAGAAAAGGTACCATTTTAAACTACAGAAATAATTATCTTTGTTTCTTAAATTTCAAGAGGAGTAAAAGTTTCGTCTATTTGATAAGACTGTGTCGTTTTACATCCACTATTCATTAAACCTGTGGAGAGAGAATATATCATATTATTCACTACGTGTACAGAGCATCCACATGATGCAATTTACCACCCATTGTGTAAGGTTCCAAAAGAGGCTTTTTGAAGTTCAAGGACATAGTGGCCATTCTTCCATGCCATGTAAGCCAAGAAGCAGAGACTCCCTGAGGTGAGCGGCAGTAAATGGTTCTTCCCTTTACCAGTCATCTATCTATAGTCCCTCTGACTAGCCTACAGTCCCCTTCTAATAGCTAGCTACCCTCTACTGTCAAAAAGAGAAAGAAAAATTCACCAATAAACAAAAGTTGACAAGTACTGAGCAATTAACCAGGAAAAAAAAAATCTGAGAAATTATATTAGCAAATATAAAATATTTTAAAGCTCCTATAATGTAGCCATAAAATAATACTGGCATTTTAAAAACTGAAATTTAATAAATGTACATTAATTTAAAAAAACACGCAGACATTTGAAATCACTTGCTTTTTATAGAGAATATAAAAATAAATAAAAGACTTTAAAATCAGATTATCATCATTCTGTCTTTTCAACAAATTACACTGGGGGTTCCTCAAATAAAAGACTGAAATGTTAAGTAGTATATTTTACTTGGAATTTCTTTAGTTCATTTTTCTAAATGCCTATAAAACGCCTCTTTCAAAAATTATAAATCTCACTAAATAATGAGACTTTCATCAACTGAGCTCTCATCCACCATTTTGTTATTGTGCTGAGAAGCAGACCACTGATTATCTGTCAAAACTCGAGCTCAAAATAAGGCTAAAACGAGGAAACCATTTTCAAGACATTCCCAGCAATTAGTATGCAAAATGTACATATCCCTTTAGATAAAGGCTCTATGAAAAATAACTCTGAATGATCTGATCCCAAGATAATACGAGCTTTTAAAAAGACTACAGGTCTAAATATTAGGAGAAAGGAAAACAGAAGTAAACAAGTACTAATTTTTACAAGGCTTGTTTAATGTAATTTCATGATTTTAAGGTAGCAATTCACAGAGCCTCCTTATGAACATGAATAAAATGCCTTTAATATTTTCTGCACTCAAAAATTTTAAACATAATTTTATAAAGCTGATAACAAAAAATTATAAAGTGCTTTTTTAAACAATTAAGGAAAAAAAGCACATTGCATTTTTATACCAGCTTTATAAAATTAAGTTTAAAATTGCTATAGACAACTATGCTAGGAAATTATACCATCATTAACAGAACTTAAAAATGGATACTTACTGTCCACAGAAGTTTTTGATACTTAATCAATAAATGCATGATATTAGCTGTACCAGCTGCCATTACAAATTCTCGCTGTTCGCTGGACTTCAAACCCAATGCATGACACATAAAGAGATTGGGGGCCATGACCATTGCTACATTCATGATTGTCATTTTATTTTTCTCTTTATTGTCTATTACTCTTTGAAGAAATTCAAGCAGAGCCTGAAACAGAAATGATTCTTTGAGATTTGTGTGTATGTGAAGAGATTAAAGCACTGTAGCATACAAGATATTTATTTAGTTTAAAAAATAAGTTGTGCATAATCATAGTCAGCTGGCCACATCCAACAGGCCTTGCCATCAAAGTTTCTCCATTAGGTCGACACACCCTGAGATGGCATTTTTTTCTATTAAGTTCCATGGCACTGGGGAATGAGGTAGAGAGGGTGCAAATCTAAACTAGCTGGCAGAGAGAGGAATGGAAAAGTATCCCCTCTAGCCTACAGGAGCCATGGAGCACTGAAAAGCATTTTAAAATATCATACACATATTCACTTGTTTCAGGAAGAGTTGCATTTTTATCCCTAGGGATTAAAAGAGAGAGAGAAATTCTCTTTAAAAGGCTCATTCAATTTCAATTTCATTTGCTTTAAGGTAATCAATAGCTGGCTGACATAAAACTTAAAAAGAATGGAGAGAAGTGGGATAAGGAACAACCTAGGAGAAGAGTATTTTTTAAAATGAATGAATGAATGGATTAAAAGGAACTTCTCATCAGAAGGGGCCAGATTATGCTGAGCTTGATGTTACCCATTCCCCCTACCAACACTGTGAGCACCCATGTATCCTCTGAGCCTACCCTCCACAAATGCCATAGGCTGCTGAGACCACCCTACTCCTGATAGAGCTACAGGCTTCAAATTCATCTTTTGTCTTATGCTCTCTATAAGTGAAGCACTGTATGAAGCATATTATAGAGAACATCTCACTTAATCCTTACTTTATCCCGAGAAGATCTATTAGATGCCATAATTATCTCCATTTTACAGATGAGAAAACAATGCCTTAGAGAATTTAAGTAGCTTACCAGAGGTCACACAGCTAGGAGATGGTGGAAAATGAATTTAATTGCAGGTCTATCTGGCTTTTGTTTCTGAACTCTTCACTAATAAGAATCATGCTTTTTTGTTTGTTTGTTTTTCATATTTTGCCCCAAACTCCTACCTTAAAAAGGCCAATAAACTAAAACAAAATTGAAAAGAACCATACCAAAAGGAAAAAAAGGTGCATATAACTCACAAACCAAACCTGTTGCCGTCGAGTTGATTCCAACTCATAGCAACCCTATAGGACAGAGTAGAACTGCCCCATAGAGTTTCCAAGGAGTGCCTGGTGGATTCGAACTGCCGACCTTTTGGTTAGCAGCCGTAGCTTTTAATCACTACTCCATCAGGGTTTCCTATATAGCTCACAGGATATCCAGAAAAGAAAAAAAAAAAAAAACCTTCTAAGTGCTAACAGGTTGATCTTGGACAAGTTTAACTGCTATATAGACCTCAAATTTTTAAACAAACCAAAGGCATAGCCTTAATGTCTAACAATGAGATTTATGTATCTAATTTCTCGTACAGTGCTTAGAAAGTTAAATTGTAATCCAAGTGTAAGGTTATATAGAAACAACATATTCTCAAATGAGGACAAAAGATTAATTGGTGAGGTTTGGAAGAAATATTTAATTTTGTTCCACAGAGACCAGAATAATTATTCGACAACCAGTGTACCTCTTTGTTTATGGGCATAAATTACGGAGATTAGATAATAAACGATTTTAATTGTGGTATGCATATGCAATAAGGTTATTCAAAATATTACCATCATAATCCTTGAATGCATGTGTGCATGTATATAGATATGAAATAAATAATAAGATGCGAGCGTAGCCCTTGCTGGAAGAACTGCAGTATTTTCTCTTAATCAGAACTCTAAGAACTGCCCTTTTCTGAACGTATTTACTTTATCACTAGTCTGGTGTTGTTGAAATATCACTGGATGCGCTCATTGAAAATTTAGGTTTGAGTCCCAGCACAGTTACTTACTAGCTATGTGTGATCTTGAGGAAAATTTTTTTTCTCTCTGATCTTTAAATTTTTCTCATTTGTAAAATGGGAATTCTGATTTCATAGCCTATGAGGATTAAGTGAAACGATGCCTATAAAGAACTTCCTAAAACTACCCTAAAAAGGGTAAACAAATGCCAATAATCGTATTAACATGGATGCTTTGTTGACATCTTAAAATCCTCCAAGTCAAAGGTAAGTATGATAATTGGTCCAAATGCACAACAAGCAAAGGTAAAAGAATTCTGGTTAACCCGAAGACACCTGTACCTTTGCGCTTATACCAGGACATGGTGTTTAACATGCTGCCTCATCACCTGAAGGTCGCACAACTCATGATCCTTTCCCTCCAAACAACAACTGAATGAGTGGTCCTAGTACTTGATAAGTTGGAAAACTTATATTAGGCTGCCTGAAATTACTTTGCAATGGAGTGTCCCTTCTCTTCTATAGAACTAAATTTAAATGGCTTATTCTCTTGCACATTAAAAAAAAAAAGAAACCCGTTGTGCCGTCGATCTGATTCCGATTCACAGTGACCCTATTGGACAGAGTAGAACTGCCCCATAGAGTTTCCAAGGAGCACCTGGTGGATTCACACTGCCGCCCTTTTGGCTAGCAGCTGTACCACTTAAGCACTACGCCACCAGGGTTTCCTCTCTTGCACATAGGGCATATTTATTTAAATGATTCTATTATTAAAATTCTTATTTAAAATCTTCATCAGAACTACTTAATTAAGCCACCAAAGCTTAAGTAAAAATACTTTTTTGCATCTGCCAGTTCTTGACAAAAAATAAATAACATTCTCCATCTTATTTATAACATTTTGCTCCCATGAACCTAATATGCAAAAACCAAAACTACCCTAAAAACTTCAAAATATGGTTTAAACAGAGAATGCTTTAAAAAATATGCCTGAGACTTGGAAGGCAATGCCCAAAGAGGAGCTCTAGACCAGCCCTACCCAATGGTAACCACATTGGAACAAGTGTTTCCTCCCACAACTATCTGAACTCATTTGAATGCAGGTAAATTTTAAAAGGAGTCCCTGAGATACAAACAGTTAACACTCTAGGCTGTTAACTCAAAGACTGAAGGTTTATATCCAACCAGAGGTGCCCCAGAAGAAAGGCCTGGCAATCTACTTCCAAAAAAAATCAGCCATTGAAAACCTTATAGAGCACAGTCCTACTCTGACACATGGGGTTGCTATGAATTGGGATCGACTTGATGGCAACTGGTACTGGTAAATTTTAAAATAAGTCATATGTCTTTCAATTCCAACCTTACACAGTAGTACCTCCTTACCCACGGTTTCACTTTCCACAGTTTCAGTCACCTGCAGCCAACTGCTGTCTGAAAATGTTAAATGAGTAACATGATAAAATCTTGGGCCATCTCACTCTGTCCTGCCCGGTGACCACCTTCACGTAACTTTTACTGTTGTAATCATTCTATTTTATTATTAGTTACTGCTGTTAATCTCCTACTGTGCCTAATTTATAAATTAAACTTTATCATAGGTATATATATATATATAGGACAAAACAGTATATATAGGTTTTGGTACTATCCGTGGTTTCAGGCATGCAGGGGGGACTTGGAATGTATTCCCTGTGGATAATGGGGATTCCTGTAGTGGTCATTCACAGGGCCATCACCCAGAAAGGCATCTTTATGTGAATACAAAAAAGATGCTCTTTTCTCTTTCTGGGTAAATGAAGCCCTGTGCCATAGGCACATCTGGCAAACAGAGGACAGGCTGGAAATCAGTCCCGACTTTGTTCTGGGCTGGATGTCCCTATTTAGGTCACAACCTATACATCCATACGTAGCAGCCCTGGTCACACAATGTACAAATGCAACCCTTTCTGGAGCTGGCCTCTGTCTCAAAAATAAATAAAAATAAAACCTAATGTTCCTTGTCAGTTACTCATTTGACAATCAGTGGAGCAAAAGATTTTTTCTGACTTAGGAAAGTCAGGAAGTTCTCCTGTAGCAGATGTAATGCTTTTATTCCAGTCATCCTCATAGGCTGTGTCATCCAGAAAAGTTGAGTATCAACATTCATTCCATTAAAGAACTATCACTCATGTTGTTATATAGGTCAAGGAGTTCTAATGAGTTACAGGAAAAATTTTTCCAAGTAACAAGGTTTTGTTTTCATTTCTTGACATGAGATTTCATTTCAAACAGCAAGAAGTGTAGGGGATAAGGAGGCAAGGCTATCACCCTCACCTGTATATTAAAAAAATAAAATAAAATAAACAACAAAAGTTAAAATAACTACTCTAACACTCTTTCTAAATTAAATTTTTTTTTCTTTATAAAAGTTTACGATTAAAACTTTTACAACTACTGTATAAACTTTTGCCCTTAAGGAAAATAAAATCAGTGTGGAGCGATCCAGTGGATATTACGAGAGCTACTGACAATGTTTAGAGTAAAGGATATTAAAGTATATGAATATTAGACCAAATCACTCTGAAATGATAATATGTACCAGAAACTCAGAACACGCCTTAGAGAAATAACTAGAATTTGAGTTGGTCTAACAAACATTTCAAAATCACCATTCTGACTTATTTCAAACTCTACCACTTGAAGCTGCAAAGATCTTAGTTGAAGGCAATAGTGGGTCATAATTGATGAGCCTTAGGATTCTGTTAAACATTTGTTTTTAACTTTATTAACATATGCTCACTAAACTTCAAAATACATATACTCAATAAAATTTAGAAAATGCAGAAAAATAGAAAGAAGGAAAAAACAAAAAATTCCCATGGTCCCGTTAATAAAAGAACCTCAATCACCTGTTAGGGTATAAGACATGTTCTAGTGAAAACCTAAAAAAAACAATCCTAATAATAGTAATAACATAACCAACCTAATAAATAAATTAATAAAGACTTTAAAGACTTTCCTTCACCATTTGTCCTTAAAAATAGGCCTTTCCTTTGCAGCCTGTTGTGTTTACATTTCCAAGATACTCATCATACTGTGTTGCCACAAAGAAAGAAAAATTATTCTGGTTCATTCTAAGGGATATTTAATGTAAATTAATCCAGCTGACCTTCAGTGTGTCCCTGTTTGCATCAGGTAGGAGGATGACAAGGAGATTCAAAGCCTGTAGTTGTTGCTTCTTGGTTGGAAGATCTGCAGACAGATTAAATAAACCTGAACTCTTTTCTTTACTGAACATGTTTCTTTACTTTCTTTTTTTTTTTTAATTTCTTTAAGAAAAAAGTTATTTGGCGCAAACATGACTGTGAAATGTAAGATACGACGACTGAGCAGCAAGCCTTGTTGAGCGTGTTTGTGGGAGATCAGCAAAAGCAGCTGCTGTTATATAGCGCTTCTTCTCTCTCAGAATGCTCACTTCCAACTGAGATCATACGACAAGTGGCCTTATGTTTGCAGACACTCAACAGTGCTTTGGAAATAATTTTAACTTCTCTGTGTTAATTATTTCCCAATGAAAAGACATAGAAGATGGGACCTTCCATGATATGATGTCAGGGTGCGTCTGTAACAGTGAAGTTTGTTTCTTTTAATGTTAATGAACAAACTACATGGCAAGAGTCTGTTAATACCAACAGGAATATGTAAAAAAGGGCCTGGAACACAACAGATACTCAATGAATGCTTGTGGAATGAAATAGAACTATGAGTTGAAATTGACTCCACGGCACCTAACAACAATAACAACAAAGAGTGTATTACTATGGTTAATATGCATCATTTTCAGTAACTCTTATTCCATTTAAGTGATACTCATGGATATTTAAATCATTCCTGTATTTGTTTTTCAGGGATTAATTTAGTACTTTAATCCATATCTCAATGAATGTATGCAAAATAACACAATTTAACCATTAAAAAAGTATTTTAGATAAAAGATGATTTCAGTCATTTCTCTCCTAGATATTCTAAAGAAATGTTCTGATACCAGGTAGGTCACGGGAACTATCCCAACATTGCATACGTTATGAATGAATGGTCTGGAACAGTTCTGGTTGACACTGTAACTCACTGTGATCATTAATAGTGTCCCTTTTTTACTCTCACTAGCGTCTTAGTTTGGAAGATTAATTATACAGTTACTTGAGTGTGGTTATGGAGATTTTTTTGGATTGTCTCTAAAAGTAAAAGGGCTAATCACTCCAATACGTAAACCTCACAATATCTCTGTGTTCATTGGAAAGAAAATTAAGAACTATTAGAGACATTAATTTGGAGTTAGCCTGAGACCACAAAATGGCAAGACATAAGATGTTTGCTGCCTTCCACCAAAATGCTTTGTTCCATGTTTCTGCATGACAATTTCAGAATTTAATTTCTCAGGAAATGCTGAAAGACTCTGCCACATCTCTTTATGCTTTTATGATAACTGTTAATCCACAGCTTCTCCAGTAAGTGTTTTAACACTTGGCAAGAAAAACCTATCAGAGATCTTACGTGACTCATTCTATTACAAAAGAAATGTGAAGTTTCCAGGTTTTAACACTAAAATATATTGGATTGCTTAAATGCCATACGACTAACCAGTATTCAGAGAGAACATTCTATTATCTACTTAGTCAGAGATGTATATTCATAAGATAAAAGGAAAACAATGTACGGCATTTGAGTGCCCGTTGACATCAGTGAGTCAATATGTCTATTCCAATATATCTGGTTATAGTCCTTGTCATACAAAATGTCATTAAAACAATTAATATAGATGGCAGTGGTACCAGGACTGCTCCAAAGTGGGATGCCACTTACCTTGGACAGCCTGAAAGGCTTTCAGATATTCTGCACTGAGCAACGGCTGAGGTAGCTCCCGGATGAAGAGCTTCAGGAGGCTGGCTGCATCGTGCTGCTTGACACTTTCCCAATTAAAAATCCCTTCATAAAACTTTGCTTCAAGTTCTTGGCAAAGATTCTGAAAGGCAAAAGAAGAAGAAGGAAAAAAAACAAAAAACAAAAAAAAAACCCTACCAGTAAGTATATTTTTTTCCTGCTGAGAGTTTGATATATTTCTTACTTTATAAAGGATTCTAATCTTTTAAAAAGATACCTGAAAGTACCAACGGCCAATACTTCTCTGACTCAAAAGAATATTCCCCTCCTCACTCGCCCAAATTGTACTTTTCAATGAAAAAATGTAGCAAAGGCCAAAAAATTTAAAAACTTTCAAATTTTTCTTGGACATTGAACAAACCTTCGTAAAGGCTTAATTAAAATACAAGTAAAGATAGTCTTTTCGTTTGGGGGCTTTACCTAAACACTATAATTTTTCATCAAAAAAAAATTACAAAACAAATCTGTGTTTTAAATTATATAGAAGTATATCATACAACTAAAATACATAATTAGTCTCTGAGCCTAAACAGAAGGCTACTTTTGATTAGTCACCTCTGGGAAATGGAAAACCAAACCCTATAGCAAATGAGGCATTAAAATACATCCATACACGTGTCTTAAATCCATTGGCCATAAGTGACATAGACATCTTACTGTCAGCTGCAGAAAGCAGTTTGAGTTCATGCAGGATTAGAAATACCTAGTTCATTTACCTCGAGGACTCTACAAAAATTTGCCGGGCAAATTATTACTAATAAATCAATTTAGTTTCAAAATTATTATTTTCTGTATGCTTTTCACTCTGGCATAAATCCTACTATGTTAGAAATCCTTCCAAGTTTCTGTCACTTCCTTCTATTATTCGAAGCAGTTCTCACAAAGAATGCTCTTTTTTTTTTTTTTAGAATAAATTTATTACTTTTTCTCTCCCCAGCACAACCACAAACCTCTACCCCAATTATTTTTGTAATAAATGGAATACATGAAAATAATCCCAGGGATAGGAGAGAGAGAAAGACATACAGTGACAGAGAGACAGAGACACAGAGAGAAGAGTACAAAGAAATTTGGTGGTGGTGGGGGAGGGGAAGACAACCAAAATTGTGCATATTATCTTTAAATTATTTATAATGAACCAGCTGCTGCATAATTTGGTGTGTGACAACAGGCTGGGTTGAAGAGTTGAGCCAGCTGAATCCACTTAATTGGGCTTTTTAGAAATTACACTTAGTTGAACTTGTCCTTTTGACAGCCTTCCTGTGACAACGTAAAATGAGTATTATACTCAATATTCTGTACTAAAGTAAACATGTGTTTATCACTTCTGTGAGTTGGCCACCACGCTCCACTAGTGACGACTTGACTGATTTGAACAGTGAACTGAGAAGCGGTGTTCTTTCTGATATAACCTGTTTCTGAGAGATTACTGTATTTTTATGCAAACGACACGCACATTCTACTTTTTTGCCAACCACGCCCTCCTCCACGAAGTACTTTCGTAAGCACACTCTGTCCATTTTTTTTTTTACATGTTGCTTTTTTAAAAAAATGGGCATAGTGCGTTTATAAAAATACCTCGCGGGGGAGGGTGCAGTTGGCAGACAAACGTAGAACTTGCACGCTATTCGTATAAAAATACAGTAATTGTTTAAGAAAATGTACTTCTCAATAAAACTTATCCCAAAATCACACCCAGTGTTCATTACTGACTGGGGGTGAAAGTGCCTTACCAAAACCCCATTGCCGTCGAGTCAATTTTCGACTCATAGATACCCTATAGGATAGAGCAGAACTGCCCCACAGGGTTTACAAAGAGTGGCTGGTGGATTTGAATTGCTGACCTTTTCAGTTAGCTGCCTGACCTCTTAACCACTGCACCACCAGAGCTCCTGAAACTGCCTTAGGTGTCAGTAAATGAAGTGAGACAATGGCAAGTTATAATACCTACAGACACACAAAAACTCTTTCAGGGAGCTTTATGCATCAGATACCAAACCCAGGGGACACAAGCCGAAATCTGTAAGCAGGGTATATTAGGTTAGTCAAATACTATTAAGCTGAGATTACTACAAGTAAGAGCTAAGTAGGCTGTCATGGATTGAATTGTGTCCCCCAAAAATGTGTGTATCAATTTGGCTAGGCCATGATTCCCAGTACTGTGTAGTTGTCTTCCATTTTGTGATTGTAATTTTATGTTACAGAGGATTAGGGTGGGATTGTAACACCACCCTTCCCCAGGTCACATCCCTGATCCAATGTAAAGGGAGTTTCCCTGGGGAAACTTTTCTTTCTCAAGAGAAAAAGGAAACGGAAGTGAACAGAGAGTTGGGGACCTCAAACCACCAAGAAAGCAGTGCCAGGAGCAGAGCGCATCCTTTGGACCCAGGGTCCTTGTGTGGAGAAGCTCCTAGTCCAGGGGAAGACTGATGAGAAGGCCGACAGAGACAGAAAGCCTTCCCCTGGAGCTGATGCCCTGGATTTGGACTTTCAGCCTACTTTACTGTGAAGAAATAAATTTCTCTTTGTTAAAGCCATCCACTTGGGGTATTTCTGTTATAGCAGCACTAGATGACTAAAACATAGGCCAAAACCAATGTCATCCACTGAAGAAACTTATCAAAATGATCAGGTGATGCAAAACTGTTGACTGTCTATAGCAATTACAGTGCTGGCAGCATCAGAGCACATTAGTCACTGGTGAGGAGAATGTGTACCCACTAAGAGCCATTCTGCCCTGTTCCAGCTCTAAATATTTCATATAGAATAGGTCTAAAGTAAATGAACAGAATATCTCTGCTTTCTATCCTATTTTCTCTTAGATATTAAAATTCAGGAAGACAATATACTAGAAGTGGGCAGCTACTTGTGCTATCTCACTTTAGAGATAAAGATAAATTTGGAAGGTAGCTACGGTAACAGAGATCGTTAGGAGCACTAACCAAGAACATTTCCTAGATATATTTTCCAGATAGAGCTATAATTCCAAGTCTGAGTTCCCTTTAAACTGTAAATCCCCTGAGAGGCACATCATTAAGTATTATGTATAACCTGTAGGGTAACTCCACCTTTATCCTATATTCATTGGAAATTTGATTCCTCACAGCAGGAGTTGGGCAAAAGAGATGAAGTTAGGAAGACACACAGTATAAGAGAAAAATGGGAAAGAAAATGCCATCCAGAGAGAAAAAAATTGAGGAGAGGAGGGTATAAAATTGGGAATTCTGGGGGCCACTGCACCTCTTTCACAAGCCAGACTCATACTACCCTGGATACAGTGAGACAGGGAACAGAGAAAGGACAGGAGAAGAAGCTCCACTCGGGAAAGTGGTTGAGACAATCTCATTTTGTCAGCTCAAAAAAGTTTTTTTGAGGACTTTTTTACAGATTACTGTCAAGTTTCCTACTCTACTCACCTGGGAAAGTCTATGTTCCTGCCTTTCTTTTCTTTTAACTCAATTGCCATAACTCATCCTGACTAAATCCATCACCAAACCAAAACCAGTTGTCATCCAGGAGCAACCCCATGTGTTTCAGAGTAGAACTGCACTTCAAAGGGTTTTCAATGGCTGTGATTTTCTGGGGCACCTCTGCGTGGATTCAAACCACCAACATTTCACTTAGTAGCTGTGTTCTTTATTTTTATTTTAATTGTACTTTAGATGAAGGTTTACAGAACAAACTAGCTTCTCATTAAACAATTAGTATGCATTGGTTACCAACCCCACAACATATCAACAATCTCCCCTTCTCGACTTTGAGTTCCCTATTACCAGCTTTCCTGTCCCCTCCTGCCTTCTAGTCCTTGCCCCTGGGCTGGTGTGCCCCTTTAGTCTTGTTTTGTTTTATGGGCCTGTTAATCTTTGGCTGAAGGGTGAACCTCAGGAATGACTTCATTACTGAGCTAAAAGGGCCCCTCAGGGGCCACACTCTCAGGGTTTCTCCAGTCTCTGTCAGACCAGTTAAGTCTGGTCTTTTTTTTGTGTGTGTGTGTGTGACTTAGAATTTTGTTCTACATTTTTCTCCAGCTCTGTCCAGGACCCTCTATTGTGATTCCTGTCAGAGCAGTTGGTAGTGGTAGCTGGGCACCATCTAGTTTGCTGGACTGAGTCTGGTGAAGGCTGTAGTACTTGTGGTTCATCAGTCATTTGGACTAATCGTTCCCTTGTGTCTTTGGTTTTATTCATCCTCCCTTGAGTAGCTGTGTTCTTAACCTTTTGCGCCACCCGTGGACTCCATCACCAGCCCCCTAATAATGTCTTGACTCATTGTATTCTTTGTTCACCAGAAGAAAGGAACTACTCTTGTTTTTTGCTTGTTTCCTTTTGTTCCTATTTTATTTCTGCACAATACACAGATTGAAATCATTTGCATGCTTATTTATTATAGTAGTATTATAGGTAATATGATGATTTTTAAAAATTAAAACAGAAGAACAGAAGGGACTATATAAACTGAATTATAAGAGGTTTTATTGTTTTTATTTTATCCACTTTACTAGCCATGGAGAGAGGATGGGGAGGACAAGTTAGCTTTTAAAATGGAAAAGCATAATTAATAAAATGTTACATTAGTAGGGCCAAGAGATTACCTTGATTCTAACAGCAGCTCCAGGTATTCGTAAGAGGCCTTCAGTTTCCAAACCTCCCTCTTCAATTTGAGAAATCAGCTGTGTATAAACAGAAGGAACATTCTGATTTTGGTATTCATAACAGGTACAATTCCAAATTTAACATCTGTTTCACATATACATAAATGAGAACGGATTACAATGACATGCAAACTGGATTTTATGGGGTTTTGAATGCTATTGCAGTATCACTATCCTTTAAACCAACGAGTCCCAAAACTTTAGTTATAATTTAGAAAAAAAGTTGGGTCTTATTCTCCTTTATAACAGAAATGTGTAATTTCACACAACAGCTGTGGTACTCCAAACAAAGGGAGAAAGAAGATGTTCATTTTTTAAAAGCAACTAAAAACATTCATTTCTTCTGCTTTTCCAGAAACATGAATTCTGCAATCAAATAAATCTCATGAAATTCTAATATTTCCTCATTTACATCTCATTTTTAGTTTGTTACAAAAAAGAATTATTTATGATATAAAGTCAAAAACTGTTTGCAAATATTCATGTTTAAGTCTTAAGCTGTAGGTGGTAAAGAAAAAATAATTCATGTATGGGAGTTCTAAATCATGTCCAAAGTCCAATGAATACACACAGACCTTGCTATCTCCAGAACCCCACTAAAATAACAATTAAGGCTTTTTCTTTTTTAAGGCAAAAAGCCACAAGGATAATATAATGACAAATTGTTGAAAGCCAAGAAGAAGATAAAAGAGTGGTTACAATCTTGGCAGAATGATCTTCAAATGGGAATATGAATTCCCCTGGCAGTATACACAGACTTTATACGGGTGCTCTGCTATTTTATGGGACTCCATTTCTATATCTTCAATTTAAATATGAAGCATTTATTAGTGTCATGGAGGTTTTCCTCCCTGTCCACCCATCCTCCTTTCACAAGTCTCCTTCCACTTCAAACCTACCCTTCACTCAGCCCAAATCTTACTATAATACTCTCTACATGCCCTAGAGCATAAAATCTTCCAGAGTGCCAAAGGAGTGTAAATTTGTAATTTTTTTCAGGGAAGCCTACTTTAAGGATTAACTAAGGCTTTATAAACTACACAGAGCTTATTCTTTCCCCCTTGCTTATCTGTTAGTCAATGCATGGCTTATAAAGGAGGGCTTTTGACCTTTGTCTAGATGTATTGACATCAAATACACTGTATCGTGTAGACACTGAAAAGGATGGTAACTTTTCTTGAATGACCTCACCTCTATCCCTGAACTATTTCCAAAGAATGCACTGATCTTGAGGGACTCTGGTAGGACTAAAGCAAAGAGTATTCTCAAAATTACCCCCAAGGATTTATTATTACTAAAAAGGGAAACATCTTTGACCAGTCAAAGAGTACATGACTTTTCTAAAATTCAACTGCAATATTTTCAGGACCGTATTTTTCAAGTTACACTGGATAAAACACCTCACAAAAAGTTTTACATGAATTATTTTAGATTAAATAGGCATTATTCAATAAAAAATTTAAAATTAAATTTACCAAATTATACTATGCAAAATGTATTTCAAAGTGCAGGCAATTTTTGTGCTATTTCATCTTATAAAATATTTAAAATATTTCTATCTCGTATTAAAAAATAAAATTAAATACTAGCTGCTGGAACAAATTAGTTTGCAGCAGTATGTGCTTTTCGCTTTCATTAAATACACAGGAAAAACTGATTGTGATTTCTTAATCACTGAATAGGAGTTATGTCTGGATTTATATTTGAGTCCTCTCTATTATTACTCTCTAAAGCTGAATACTAGCAATCGATGAGATGTGTATATATAGACTGAAGGACTGTCATGTGTTTTCTCATACTTCTCACTTAGAAAATAACATTTTTAACTATCACATTACTTTCTATTATTAAAATATAAGTAATACAATAGAATAAGAAATATATAAATAAGAATAAATATAGTTTTTCTTATTGCTAAGACTTAGAAATGGAAAATAACTGTATTGATCTATATATTTTAGTCATGCTGCTTTTAGTTAATTCATCTTACAAGATACAGTCTTTAGTTTATCAGTACTTGCTATCCTCGGGTTATGAATGTCTGACTTATGGACAACTCGTACTTGTACTTTAATCTTATGTAAATTTGTCCTCACTTTGAACCAACCCCTATATCCAACAAAGTCCTCATCACAATCACCTTTACTTGCTGCACGTGCAGCTTTTAAATCACTGAAAAGGCTTCAAGCCTTTTCTTGCACTAAAGTAAGGCTAAATAAGAACTGTACACCCTTATTGACTTACATACAAATTCCACTTAAAGACACAGTTAGGAACGGATCTCGTTCTTAACCCGGGGACTGCCTGTAATCTTCAGGGTATTTCTCAAAATACATATACTTACATGAATTGAAAAATTAAGTCAGACTTTTCGATGCAAAGTATGTCTGATTTGGCTGATTAATTTGACAGCAAGATTTACTAATTAGGTTATAAGGCAGACTTTTTTTCACAGATTTAAAATTAACAATATTTCTGTTTTCACAGAACTTTCTAATCTTTATAATGGTTTGAATAATGTGCCTCTGAGCAAAAAAAAAAAAAAAATACAATGAACAGATATTGAATAAGTTTTATTAATGCCGTTTATTTGTATATTTCTCAAAAATTGAGAAAGTGAGATCATCTTAGTGGTAATGAATATTTTTGTAACTCTGTGGTTTCCAATTCTTTCCATTATACAAAACTGTAAGGGCTTAACTGAGTTGTCAGCTGTAAGTTAAAAAATATTTTTCATCCTATATCATTGTGATGTTTGCTTATAATTCAGAGGGGATGCAAATATATATATGAGTGTTATCTAAAAGTAAACTTCTATTTCTCATTATTTCTTATGGAAACAAAGTTTTTTGATTATACTAATAAAAATTAGAAGTAGAATTAAACATCGTTGAAATGTATGTGTCAATCTAGGAATAACAACATTCATTCATAGATACAGGAACTAATATTTTTAAAGCCACATCGTCTGATTATGAGATACACATATTTCCAATACAATTTTACCTCTTATTAATTACTATCAAAGTTTGTATATATTGGCCCATGTATACTAATAATTACAAAGATAACTCAATCCAAAAGAAACATAATTAACACTTAGAAACATGTCTGCAAGAAATGTTTTAGAAATTAAAATTTCATTAAAAAAATTTTGTGACATAAAAGCATGATAAACAAACATTAAAAAAAACTTTAAAACTTGAATATGTAGTATGTTAGGGTAGAATTCTATAGAGGAAAAGGAATGAAAATGTAAGTTCAAGGAAAGAAAAAAAATGATGTAAACTTTCCCACTGATAAAGAAGAGCTAGTTTGTATATATTTTAAAAGGTTGATGGTGAATATCAAATTGCTGTGGTATTTAGATTCTACTGGATACATTTAAAAGAATGATGTAAGAGTTTCATTCCAAAATGCCAATATTTATATTATGTCAGAAATTATATCTTTTTCATCTATTTAAACTTATTGTAATTTCAAGTGTTAAACTACAAATGTGTTACTGGGTATATATATTATAAAAATCCATTTCTTCCAACAATTTGAAGACCACTGACTCAGTAGATGCAAGAAGGCTGAAAACTAAAGCGAACAGTAAGGAAGTCAGAAGCAGTCTGATTACAACAGAGAGCACCCAAAACGTAAGTACACTCACTCCTCACTTATTGACTGTGTCATTATCCAACATTGCACATTTATGACAATAGTAAAAAATCCACTATCCTACTATTTTGTGCATTAATGATGTACGTCTGGCAATAACAAATGTTCTGGTGCAAGGCAAGGGTAACACTAGCTGTGACGGTTAAGGTTATGTGTCAGCTTGGCTGGGCCATGGTTCTCAGTGATTTGGCAGTTATATAATGATGTCATTTTTGGAGTTATATAATGATGTAATTTGGCAGTTATGTAATGACGTAGTCATCCTCCATTTTCTGATCTGATGTGGTCATCCTCTATTTTCACATAACGCTGATTTTCACATAACAACTTGGTCTTTGGAACCTAACCATGTTGATAAGTGGGGAGTGGGTGTATTTCTATATTTTAAAGGCAAGGAAGCTACAATTCAGAAAACATTAAGAAATTACCCAATATTCAAAGCTAATAATCCTTGGCAAGAGGTATTCAGGGCTCCTCAATAGGGCCATAGGCATCAAGGTGATAATTACAGATACTGCAAAGGTACAAACTTAGGAGCTGACAGGATATGGTTCACAAAGGTCACTCAATGATAACTCCAAAATGACTGACTTCAGTAACTCAAATGATAGAAATCCCATTCACTGAAAAACATCAAGGAATTTCAATGGGGATGATTTCACAAGGCCATTGATTAAACACACCTGAGCTTTATGAGGAAAGGCCAAGGATACATAGGATTATTCCCATTCACTCAGCAATATTTGTTGAGTGTCTACGAGTATGTTTACAACAGCAATGAAACAAACTTTAGGCAGACCTAAAGCCAATGATCATGAAGATGGCACAGGACCAGTCAACATTTCATTCTGTTATACATAAGGTCTCTGTGAGTCAGAGCCAACTGGATGGCAACTAACAACAACAACAGATCCAGGGCCTACTGGGGGTGAGAGGGTAAGTTCTTCTCTGGGAATTGACCTTTAATTAACCTTGGAAGTAAGCACTGGAATCGAATGGGGCTGTTATCCATTACTTCAATCTAGTGGGTAGCCAGAGTCTCCAGAATACTAGAAAGTCCAAAAATTTAAAATAACTAGCTAAATAAATAAATAAGCAAACAATTCCAAGACAAAATGACAGAAGTTTTCCGGGACTTGGTGGAATCCTCAGCCTGGTCAGGAGGTATCACTGACGTCAATAAACCTTCATAGGGACCTAAGTTTGCCCTTTACTGGGGAGATCACTGCTGTGTATAGTAATGCACAACTTTTATCTACATTAAAAGAACTTGAATATGTGGCCCATATTTTCTAGCATCTCTCTGTTCGGGCTACTGTTGAACTATCCACACAGATTAGGGTTCTATGTCAGTGGCTAGCAAAGGCAGATGAGGATAAGCTATGTAGAACAAAGCTCATCAGGAGAAGCACTGAGATACAGGATTGAGTGTACAATGGTGGACATGAGGAATACAAGAACCAGAGGTTAGTAGTAAGACAGTGACTGGTTTGGGAAGGGGACGAATATGTGCCAAGAGCTTTAGTACTGGATGAGTTTGCTAATAAGTCAATCGACCTCCAAAGTTCCCATGTTCACGCTTGCTGTCCCCAGAAATTTCAGAAGCTGTGATATGTCTAGGTTATTGAAAAGAATCTGTAGCTTGGGTAGTCAATGACTGATTTGATTCTAGAAGCCATGAAGAGAAGGAAGCAGACCTTCCTTCCTCACTGTGCACTGACTGGCTATTATCAAATATAATCTGTGTTTCAAATAATGATGGCTCAGAGGTTGGACTGAAATGTTTATATTGCCATGGACAATCCCCTTATGAATAATTGAGTGTTGACTACACAATTGACTTGATAGTTTAGCAATCATTTTCTAATTCTACTTTATGGTTTCTTTACCTACTTTGGAAGTAGGCACTGGTAAATTAAATTGTACATCCTCACTGTAAATAGGAAAGCTTGGGAAATGCATACAGACATAAAATATTCATGAGGATTCAATTTCCTAGAAATTTATAAGCAGTTCCCTCTACTATGTATTACAGAACTGAAATCTCAATTATATAAAGCTAGCTAATAAAAGACAGGAAAATGATGCCAGATAATCACAGTTACAGTAATAACACTGAAAGCATCACCATGAAACAAAAATTATTAGCCCTTGAAACAAACTTGTTTCTTGAATAGAAAATCAAAGTACAAAATAAAAGAGCATATCACCTGGAAAACTATACTATAATAGTATGAATGCAAAAAAAAAAAAACCACTGTTAGCTAAAGTATGTTTTTTCTAAGCTGACCCACTCAGGCCTACTTACTTTTTGAAAGATCAAGGGTATTCGAGTTCCTGGTACTTTTCTCTGATCCTGTTCTAGCAATACTGTCAATGGAACACCAAAAAGGCCAGAATCTGCAAAAAGAAAATGAAATTTCTTCACTTCCCTCAATCTATAAAATAAATAATTTTAAGGCACAAGATTTCATACATTGTCATTTAATCAGACAACTATTTATTGAGCATCTACTAAGTGAATGACACTGTCTTAGCCATTAGGCATACAAAGCCCAATAGGATGACTCCGCCCTGCCTTACAGAGCAGTCTAGCAAGAAAAGACAACCACACAACTGAGTGTGAAAAAATCACTGAAATGATTTGAAAAGTGCAACCTGTTATACCAGAGAAATGGAAGGCTGTGGGTGTAAGCAAAACATATAAATAATTTACTAAATGTAATCAAATTAAAAGTTCTGGCTTAAAGTAAATTATCACTCATCTCTTCCACACTGAATTAAGATTTAAAATTCTACAATTATATAAATATCTGCTTTTTGAAAAATTAGCCAACATTATGATCTTGTTCTACAAATGTTTGTTTTTAGAAAGCATAGTAGACAATTGGCATTCTTGAATTTATATCTGTAGTGTTATATATTTGTGATTAAGTACAGAAGCAATGAGAGGTAATAATTTATGATTTTTCTAAATTAAAATCATAATCCTTGAGACTGGTGCAAGCATAGTTTCCACCCAGCACCCCTACCCCATTCCCATTATTGGCATATAGTTAACACGGAAGTGATAATGACTGTTTCCTTCATGACAAACGTTATCAGGGTAGATAAATCATTTCCAATCCTGGAAAAGGAAATTACCTTGTGGTATGAGGACAGATATTAGAAATCATGACAATTGAGAAGTCATTCAAAAGAATGTCAGTAACCCAGTAAATAAGAAACGATACAATCCTCAAGAATGTCAAGGATCTAGTTGATAAGATGAATATATTGGATAAGATACACAATATATATATAAGATGGAAAAATCTATTATATTAACAGTGATACATTTAATAAGAATGACTTAATATTTCTCTCTCTGCTAGGATGCAATACTAAAAAATCACATTAAAAAACCTCTCTAAGCCACTTTAAAAGATTCAAGCAATGAGTCACAGCTATTTAAATTATATTTCTATTTTATATTTGGAGAAGTCTTTGTGATAAGCTTTTAAAAAGGCATCTGAAAACTAATAAATAAATAAAAAGGCATCTGAAGTCTTCATTATCCATAATGGACTTATGGAAAACCATAATCATTGTTTGACTCATAAATTCACCATCCCAAGTCTCAGGCTAAAATGCTCAAAGGGACTGAGCACAGAAAGAGATCCCTAGGACCCAGCATGGAACAGAAGACCTGAGGGGAAGCTACACCTCAGCCCTACAGAGAAATTACCTCTAAAACATAAATTGGGTGAATGCTTATCTTTGCTAAGGTTACCATAGCAACTCAATAATCCTCTTTCTTGGTTTCTCTTTAGGAGATACCTTTAAGGTTAAACAAGAGGACAGAGATTCCTGAACAGTAAAGCTTTGTCAATAGAGAATTATCTGGATTTCAGGCCAATAAAGTCTAGGAAAAACAAAAAGTGAGGTAGTTAGTATTTGTCGTTTTGTCATATAATAAAAGATGAATTCTGTTTGTATACTGCGTAAAGGAAGCTGATTATAAAAGAAAAACTACATAAATGCATGACAAGTACAACTTAGTGGCATTGTACACCACAATGGCATATTCTTAATAGGGTGAAGAATGTTTTTGCAAAAGAGTTAAAAGCTGAACATAAATGAATAAAGGGAAAGACTACTAACTAGCCATTAGATAAATTTTCCTTCAGATGAGTAAGCAAAAGTAATTATTCAGGATCAACATCTGAAAGTCATTTTTCAAGATCTGATTTTGTAAATAAATAAGTAGATGCACCAAATGTATCTTTTTAAATATATGCTTTTCCAAGGAGAAAGCACATGAGCTAAGATTCCTGGACTCAAAATTTCTTCTAAAGGAATTAAATTATTTGATTATCCCTTTCTTTTCTATAGTCT